ATCTTTTCTTCTTTCGAAAAGGGCTTAGTGCTTGTTACTTTCTTTGGTATGCACGAACGAATTACTTTCCATAAACAATTGGAATCGTTCGGATTATCTTTTATCTGCTTAGCTACGTATTCCCTCTCGGCCTTTCTCAATATTTGTTTAACTTCACGCTTTAGGTTTCTATACCAGGATCATTTGTTTTGGAGGCATGTCTAGGCCAGTTGTCTCTAGGTTTTATTAATAACTTAATCTCGTCTGTTACAAAAGGATTTGGACGAGTTCTCAACCTTACTCGCCTAATTGGAGCTTGTTGTTCCAAAATTGGGTCAAAAAGCAAATGAAAAGCGTTTAGTTTTCCGTCAACGTCATCGAAATTTTCTATCACTGACCACGGCGCTTCGGCAATATTACGCGCGAATGCACTGGCATCATAATGTTTATAACTGCGTCTTATTACATAAACCGGTTTCGCGCGACGGCTCTTAAAGTTTAGTGTCATAGAGACAAATCATGGTCACTGATTGAGACTGGTTGTACTCCAGAGGACTTTACCAAGTGCATATTTGAAACTAGAATAACATCTATTAAGGTTTTAGATAAATCGGTACATCTTGTAGGCTGTTTTATTACCTGTGTAAGATTGAAGGCCAAGCAGAAATCCAAAAGGGGTCTAGCGTTGCCATCACTGGTATCAAGAACGTTACAATTTAGATCACCCAAAATAAAGATATCTTTGCTTAATGTCATGGCCGAGGTGAACGATTCACTCAATTCCTGGTCAAAACAATCCAATGAACAGTCAGGCGGTCTGTACGCCGTGCAAACAATAAAAGATTTATGTTTGTTAATTTGAATACCAAGCCATAGTTGATGGAACCCACCGCTTGATATCGACGATAATTTACTTAGCTGTTCGACTTTGTAGATCTCCTTTACACCGCCAGTTTTATTTTTTCTGTCGAGGCGCTTTATAGTATAGCCTGGGATTACTATTTCACTTGATCCATTTAACCATGTTTCAGAGATAGTTAGAATATCAAAGTCATTTTCGCTCACCAGATTTTTAACTTCAATATAGTGGCCTCTGTTCTTCAACGAGCGAATATTTAGATGCGCCATTTTGAGATTCTTTACACAACCTGACTTACGTTGATCTACCATGCCTGGATTCAGTTCCACGTCGCCAGACAGCAAAATTAAGCGAGAAAAATTTAAGCAACGAGTAGAGTTCGGGTAGTACAATACGCTGGAGGCGAAAAACTTCTTCCTTCTAGGCCGATCAGCCATTCGGTTTCATCCAAACTGCCTTTATTAGATACTCCATTTGCTTGTATAGTACTATGGTACGTGTTACACCAACCATGAGGTGATAAAAATGATGAAATATCAATGATACATGTCAAGTAAAGACAAATTAACAATAAACTAACAGGAGCCCGATCAGGCGACGCCGCCATTAATACTAATTTGATGTTGCTGTTTTACGACAACTGTTAGAAGAGCCTGCTTCCTCGAGTAGCAGACCCCCGACAGCTTTACCAAACGTGCATGTTTCAATAATTATCCAATTTAAACACCATTTGCTATGCCATAGTCCACATTGTCTATTGTCCACACTTAGTTATACAGGTCCACACTGTCCACACTTAGCTATAAAAGTCCACACTGTCCACACTTAGCTGTATATAAATGCTGAAATAAAGCAGTCGGCTAGGAAAGGCTTTTACAGAACAGTAAAGGAATGGTTGGGAAATTTCAAGTAAAAATTCCAATTGAATACCTGGGGATGATTGGACCGGAGAAGTTTAACTTGTCATTTTCTTCTGGCTGCAAGGGACTTCACCGAATTTCACACACCAAATCAAATGAATGCCACTGGTATGCCGAGGGGTCTAAAATTCTTGTGTCATATTGGTTGAGACATGAATTTACACTGTTTCCTGTCCACAGTTCAGAATAAAATACTTATTTCGTTGACTTATTGACTATTATTATTGACAAAACTGAAAATTTGTATATGTATATGTATATGCAGGCTTCTAGCCAGGAGACACCCTAGCACACGTGTATAAAATGGATTTTAAACAAACCATTACAAAAGTGACATAAAAGTTGCTTTGCATTCTGAAATTCTGGATTAAGCCTTCTGCTATAGATAATATTAAACTGGAAAACTTTTCATATTTTTAATGTGCATATGTATAGTAATATATTGATAGACACATCCGGTGTCATTTAGTAATATATTGAGAGACACATCCGGTGTCATGGCGAAAGGTGACAAAATTCCGAGCTCCGCATCTGTTGCAAATTCCGACAACAAAACCAGCGAATCTGAAAGCAAAATAGAAAA